ATTAACAAGGTCAGCAACTCAACCAAATTTATTAACTCGTGACTTACCGAAGAATGAGGAAGAGCAAAATAAAGAAGATGGAGACCCAATCATTTATCTGAACCTGGTAAAGAACCTGTTGAAATTCCCACTTATCCAACATACCAGCACCACTTGATAACCCATATAAAATAGACATTAATTCTGAATTAATGAAAATTTACCGTGATATCATAACTGATAATTATGATTCAATAATAAATTTAATTGACCAATCCGGTTTAATTATTTTACCTTATGAATCATTAATTCACATTATCGCCATTCTTTGTGATGTTCAAGATTCAGACGTTAAGATTCAATTTTCATAGATGATGAGGTTTCATGCTGCGGAACAGTTGCAAAAATAAATCCTATAAAGGATATTAGCACAATTAAGATATCAAAGAACGGAGCAACAACTGAACTTCATTTAACATATAATGATATTTATAATAAAATAGTTGATGAATATAAAATATCACTTGAAAAATTCTTTGTTAAGGCTATTTAATATTCAAGCATTAACATTATCGATAATAATCCTTTGAATCATAATCGATAATAATTGACCTTTCACCAGTTTCTATCGTTTGTTTTATTTCTTTTTGTTCCCACTATCCGGATCGGTCATTGTAATTGTGTTTTGTTATAGTATCAGCTTTATCTTTAACTTCAATCTTTTTTCCATCAGGATATTTAAACCAAAATTCCAAAAATTCGATATTGTCAATCTGTTCATATTTTAATCTATCATTACATTTTTAATACCATCTGAAATCTTATGAAATGGTCATTATATGGGTTTGATTGAACTAAATTTGAATGAAGTGAAATATAACCGATGATGAATATGACATTGACTCATATTTTCTGAAAACACTAAAATTTATAACATGAATGAATTTCTTATTCGTTGAATTTATGAATTCTTGAGGTAATCTTATTCTAGTTTTATTTATCACTGGAAAATAACGCTTTACCATATTTTTAATCGTAATAAAAAAATGTCAATTATCAATATTATTTCGAATAATAACTGTGAATTAAATTTAACAGTTAGCGGAATTTATAATGTTACTCTCGTTTCTGTGAGTGGTAAATTTAATCCCATTCTTTTAAACCCTTCAGATTATATATCATTTATTAAAGATGACCGTGAGCCGCATAGCGGGGTCGTAGACCTAAAAAACGTATGATATGTATATAAATAATGTGATAACGAAATGGGATATTAACATGATTTTAAGTTATTTAAATGAATCATTTATCGTATGGTATGAAGAAAATTTTAAATCAAAACCTGATAAACTTTTTGAACTTGATGAAATAAATAACCTTATTAAATTTCCGCTGAAAATTAAATTTTGTACTCCTCATCTTCGTTCATTGTTGGGGATATTAAATTTTGAAAAAGATGTTGGGGATGTTTTGTATTCTGACACTGGTTCTAATTTCATTTTAATCAAATGTGATAAGTTAATACCCAATGAGATTTTCACATCAAACATTAGACCCTAACTCTTACCCATCAATACAAAACATTTTATCCATCAACTTAAACATATTTTCTTTATCATATCCGTTTCAATTATCCGGGAATTCATTTATTCTTCATTCAAAAGATTTATCAAATATTAAATTTAGAATAACTGACCTATTTGATTGTGATTTAGAATTTATGAATGAAATATTATGGCAATTTCAAATAGAAAAAATAGCTGATGAGATAACAGATTAAATATTTATTTTTAATCGTAATAAATGATTAAACAACAGCAACCACAGACCATTACATACGCCACATATGCATATAATTCAAAGACGGCAGAAAAACGCAAAGGTTGAAATATGGAGATTTGGAGTAGTATTGAAAATGACCATTTTGAATTCGTTTGCAAAGGTGGTGCAGTGATATCAAATATAAAGAAATTTTATTTATGAATTCAAAAATTAAAGGTATAACGGATGATATAACATCAATTCCACAGAAGAACAAAGTATTACGCATTAAATGCATTTCCTAAAGTTTTGAAGATTGGAAGATTTAATTTAAATGAGGAATTCATAAAAGGTTTCCTAAATGACATAATGAAGAAAGCAGATATATCATTTGTTAACGATGAGTTAGCAAAGAAAGCAGATATATCATTTGTTAACGATGAGTTAGCAAAGAAAGCAGATATATCATTTGTTAACGATGAGTTAGCAAAGAAAGCAGATATATCATTTGTTAACGATGAGTTAGCAAAGAAAGCAGATATATCATTTGTTAACGATGAGTTAGCAAAGAAAGCAGATATATCATTTGTTAACGAAATATACCAAAGTTTAGTTGGAACAAAAAATATTGAAACTATTGTTGGCGACTTTTCTGTCAATGAAGAAAACAAATATTTTAGATGGGAGTTTGTACAGTCCTAAGAAATGGTATACGTATAAACTCATTCCGAAAAATAACAATGAAATGTATGTAGGCTATATAAAGAATAATGGCACACAAGTTAAAGTTCCATTAGACAACAACTGCTACTTAAACTTATGATGACGAACGACAAAAGAAATATTTAAGAGTTTATGAAATGACAGATATGACAGATATGACATTGTCTAACGTAGCTCCAGCACCATATTATTATGACTATGGTGTTGACGCACGTGTAGACCCAAAAAAGCAAACATTATATTTAGAATATTATAGATATAAAAGATATAATGCAATAGAAAAAACGAGAATAGTATACTATTATGAAGATGACAGAAATAAATATTATAGTCAAGACTTTACCTACCCCGAAAACATAAGATTATATTATAAAAAATATTCTGACACAAACCAGAAGAAACCCGAAATAGTTACACTATATTTTAAGTTCAAAAGAGACAATCCTATATTATCTCATATGTTTGATTTAATGAACCCAGTAGGTTCTATTTATACATCTATGGATGTGAGAGGTCCTCAAGCAATGTTTGGTGTTGGTGCATGGGAACAAATAGTCGACAGGTTTTTGTATTGTGCAAACTCTTCAAAGGAAACAGGGGGAAGTAAAACAATTACGGGTGAAAATTTACCTGCACACAGTCACTACATAGATTTAAGCACATCTCAAGCAGGTTGGCATAAGCATAGATATTGGGATTGGTCAGGAATGACAAAAGGTAAAGGATATGATGTTAAAGACAACGTTAAGTTTGCTATAAATTGTTACTGGAGTGACACTCAGGGAGAAGGAAACCATACACATCGCGTTTCAGGATATACACAAACAACGGGACAAAGTAAAGATTACATGCCACCATTTATGACTGTATTCGCATGGTATAGAGTTCAATGAATTCAGTCCAAAAATAATTAATTTCATTAGTTTTAAAATTATTTTTATTTATTTTTTATTTTGTATGTAAGAACAGTAATGTCGGTCGAAGCAAAAACATTCACGAACAAATCTAATGGCGAAACATTCACAAAAGGCACTTATAATGGTATTGAAGTCTTACGTAGAGACAAGGATAGTTACATTAATGCAACAAAGATGGCAAGAGAAGCAGGAAAGTTAAACCATTTAAACAGATTTCTCAATAGTACTAAAATGCAGGAAATTCTTGAGTTTTGGATGAACGAATACGGTGGAGCCAAAAGTGGCTCGACCTCAAAACAAGCATTTTATGAGCTTACAAAGGGTGTCATGAATGAATTCAAAGGTATTTACATACATCCTGACCTCGTTCATTTTGTTGCTGAATGGTGCTCTGTAAAGTATGCATTTTATGTCAAAGATATTATGGACTCCATAGACAAGAAAGTTCATGAGAAGTTAGATGAAGAAGAACTCGAAGATACAGTAGAAAATGCTAAACCTTTGTTTGAAGAAGAAGTTGGAAAAATGTGCGAAAAACAATTAGAACATGAACGTGAGATATATTATGGTTATAGAGATTCTCCATACGAACTAGACCAATGGGAACAAGAAGATTTAAAGAGAGAATTTAGAGAATGAACTCGCTAAGATAGCATTTGAAGCTGCAGAAAAGAAGTTAAAAGTTTGGGGTCGTTTTGTAAAAAAATATTGTGAGTAAATGAACCATTTATTTTTGGTCAAAGCTTCCACGAGAGAAAAGATTCCTCATTCGCTAAGGATTCCAAAAATGAAAAAATCATTGATTTCGGCTGAGAAAAAACAGCAAAACCCTTCTTCCACGGGAACAAAGAAATAAAGAAGAAATAAAGAAGAAATAAAGTAAATTTTTTATTTATTCCCGTGGAAGATAGAGCACTTTTATGATACTTTTTATTCACGACAAACAAGACAAACAAAGAAAATAAGAAAATACGGCGCTGTCGCGGTTCGAACCACAGACCTTGACCCCTCCATAACACCACCTTAGACCACTGTGCTACGTAGCCTGTCGACATAAGATTTTATAAATTGCATATTTGACGTAAATTTATTTCCCAGTTATTCAATAATTATTTATTTTTGAAGAACCGAAGGTGCTACCATGTTACCATGTGCTACCAGGTCATTTAACTTCTATGAAAAAGTGTGACAACATGACATTTTGACAACAACATGGGTTATTCAATAATTATTTATTTTTGAAGAACCGAAGGTGCTACCATGTTACCATGTGCTACCAGGTCATTTAACTTCTATGAAAAAGTGTGACAACATGACATTTTGACAACAACATGGGTTATTCAATAATTATTTATTTTTGAAGAACCGAAGGTGCTACCATGCTACCATGTGCTACCAGGTCATTTAACTTCTATGAAAAAGTGTGACAACATGACATTTTGACAACAACATGGGTTATTCAATAATTATTTATTTTTGAAGAACCGAAGGTGCTACCATGTTACCATGTGCTACCAGGTCATTTAACTTCTATGAAAAAGTGTGACAACATGACATTTTGACAACACAGGAGGATTAATGCAAAAATAAATTCCAATCATACTTTATAAAGCTAGACCTTCAGGTCTCGCCGCTTAGCGGCTCATTTACAGGTATTTCATCGTCAGTAAATGATTCCTCATTATCGTTTGGTTCAACCTGTTTATATAATCCTTTCATTTCTTCTTTCAAAACATAATACCATGTTTGTTTACCGTCTATTCTTCTATGTTTCCTATCACATTTATCCTTAATACTCATTTGAAAGTTTTTGTCTTTCATGTCTGATGGTTTGCAGAATAGAGCATTTTCACACGTCATACCTGCACACAATTCATCATAATGTGTATTTATCCATACATCTAAAGGATTTGATGATAATTCAATTAAATCTTGTTTGGCTTCAGTCATCGGTATGATTCGTACATTAAATGATGAAAGGTCGTAATTGATAAAATACGTCAGTAAATTATCATAAAATTCCTTTGTGCATGAATCCATTAAATTCTTGAAGTAATCAAATTGACCCTTGAATTTACCATTAACTCTTAAAACTACATATCTTCTGTCTCCAACTTCAATTTTGACAGGGTAAACGTTGTTAGTTACGAAAATGAAGTTTGCAACATTCTGAGCTGTTCTTCTGGGTTGATTCTTTTCATTAATTCTAATCTCATTATCCGTAATAATTGATTTCAAAGCGTTGAAGTTTGCGAGTCTGTCTTCACCCACATTCTTGAGTTCATTAAGTACAAGAAACATTTTATTTTCAACAACCGAATTGAAATTACCCGTTAGCTCACTTATTTCAGTAATGTTTTTACATGAATAACCAGCGAGAAGTTCAGAAATAATGTCAGTAAATCTGTTTTTACCTGTTCCCTGAAGTCCTTTCAAAATAATTGCTGTTTCATTCTTGATTCCAGGATGTTGAATCATTGATGCAATCCAGCCGAGAAGGTATTTATACACTTCATCGTTATTATCACAAATGGCTTCTTTAATGAAATTCATAAACATCTCAATTTTTGAGTAATCAGGCTTTTCAAGAATGTTGTATTTATAACCATGAAACGTTGAGAAACATCGGGGGAATCAGATTTAAAGCAAACACCCTTAACGGTTAATGAGGATAATTGATTTAGTAGTACATCCCATGCTGTTATTGTTTTACCTTCTTCTTTAAATAATTTAATCATTTTGAGTGACTCTTTCATGTTTGATTGAAGAACAAATGATATTTGATTCATTTTGTCGTGTATGTTGTAATCTTTCTGAATGAAATATTTGTTTCCACAATCTACAAAACGGATTACACGTGATAAATCCTCAATTACTTCAGAACTGTTTTTATACTGATGATTTTCAGCCTTGCGTCTAATATCTGTTATCAAGAATGAATCATCAAGTTTTATATCAAATGTTATTTTTGGCTTACGTAATAAAGGTAAAACGTATTCATCATAATATTCCTTTTGGTATAGTTTTAGAATCTTCACTAAAACAAATGGAGAAGTCATTAAATGTGCATATCTACCACGTGCTTTTTCAAAATTACTTTTAGCATTTTCAGTTAAATTGCAGAAGTTATAAACGTTATCGTATGCTTCATTAATTAAATGATCCGGTAACGAATTAATAGCTTGAAACAGTGTGAATAATGTTATTTCTTTTTCTAAATTCATGTTTCCACCGTCATTATGTACTTCAAAATCACAGATGCCATCAACTATGCTCTGGGCAAGTTTATCGTCAATGTTTACATCTTTGTTTTCATTCATTATACTCTTTATTTCTTCGTTCTTCTGTTCAACTCTTACCTTAATATTCAAATCATTTAATATATCGTTTACTGTTCTAGTTAATGTTGAATCATAACTTCCACGAATGAATGAGTATGTTTTGATTGGTTCTGTTGCATTCTTGCGAACTCTTGAATCAGCCATAACCACTAATGAACGCTTTGAATCATCCATAGAAGTCATTATGTCAATATCATAATCATTGCAGGAATAACATTTAATCATTCTGTTCGAGGTTGAATAGAAGAAATTAGTGTTGCAATAAATGTGAAGACCTCCTGAAGCGGTTTTAACGATAACATCTTTATCCGAAAGTTTTGATAAAATATCTTTTCTAACTGTTTCTTTAAGTTCATCATTGTACGATTTATTGATATCAACATCTATAATCGTTAAATTTGAAATTTTATTTACTAATAAAGCCATACCAGTTTTCCTTCCTCTTCCTCCATCATGTTTGAGGTAGTTATGTAAATCAATCTTGTTTTCACCAATTCTTTCGTTGAGGGTTTTAGTTTCTGCCACAACTAATTCCTCAGCTAATGAATCAATGATATTTTCATCAGAAACGATATAGTTGTTGCTGTTGTTTGTTGCTGTCATTTATATAGGAACAAAAAATAAAAACAATTTTAAACTAACTTTATTTTTGGACTGCATCATATTTTCCTGTGTTGTTGTCAAAATGTCATGTTGTCAAAATGTCATGTTGTCATCATTTTTCAGAGAAGTTAAATGACCTGGTAGCACATGGTAACATGGTAGCACCTTCGGTTATTCAAAAATAAATAATAACTGCCATCCTCCTATGTTGTTGTCAAAATGTCATGTTGTCAAAATGTCATGTTGTCATCATTTTTCAGAGAAGTTAAATGACCTGGTAGCACATGGTAACATGGTAGCACCTTCGGTTATTCAAAAATAAATAATAACTGCCATCCTCCTATGTTGTTGTCAAAATGTCATGTTGTCACAAACTTTAGAACGACATAATTTAAATTTTTATTTTTATCATAAATGAATACCCCACAAGCTCAAAATTTACCACGAATCATAACAAGGGAGGAAATGATAAAAATGATGCAAGAACATGTTAAAAATAACAAACCACTAAAATTGAGAAAATGTGGTTATGCGGTAATGATGGAAAGAGAGATGTTGTCGAAGAGGAATAAAAATTAAATTTGGATAGAGTTTAAAAATTCATCTTTATTAAATTCATCTCTTCCAATCAATTTATTTATTCTATTAAATTCTTTTATTTTTGCTTCACTCAGTTTAAGGATTGAACGGTAAGTTTCTAATTTTTCGATTATTTCTTTCCTCTCTTTATCGTTTTCAACCCCACCACATTGTGGCTTCTTTTTGTAATAACATATTTTTGATTTAATTCTGTTTAGTTTCTTTTTATATTCATTGTCTGGACTCTTGACTGCTTCGTTGTCACTCATTTTCTTACGAAATAAAAAAATTAAATATTATTTAAATATAATGGAGTAATAAAATAAATCGGAATTTCTATTAATTGATTGTTAACCTCAACTAATGCATTACCGTTAATATATCTAACAAATTCAGCTATTGTGTCAAATCTTCGTCTTCTTTTTGTCATTGATTTATCAGTTTTTCCATAATCGAGATGAATTAAAACTTTATTCCCTTGTTTAAAATTCATGAGCCCCGAATTAATTTGTTCACGTTTAACATCATTCAACCTTTCCATTTGCTTTCTAATATATTCCCATTCTTTTGAAATATCATTTTCATTTCCACTGGTTTCATGTTTATAGTTCTATGCCATGTATTATTGTAATAATATACTAACTGCTGTATGATGGAGTCATGATTTCCATCCCAGTATATCTGACCGTTAACCCCTAACGCATCTCTAAGAGTTTCATTACCGCATCAACTATTTTATTATGAAACGTATATGGAGAGGATGAAAAGTAAAAATTAATTTGTGGGAAATAATGAGCCATAGCTGCCTGAAATCCTTTATCACCATCACCCCTTATATTATCTACTCTTTCATGATCTAGTAAGTATTGAATAGCTCTTCTTGTTTCCTGTTCTGTTTTCCCTTTCACCGGAATGCAATATAAATATCTGGTGTTAATGTTAATGGCAAATAAATAAGTAACGTTTCCTTTTGAATATTCTAAATGATCGATTTCGTATGAATATGGATATGGAGCAAATGAAGGGCGACTAAATTTTTCCTTTAACGGTTGAATTTTCGGGTCAATTGGTTTATTTAATATCTTGAAATCCTTTTTAAAATCTTTTTGCTTCTTTAATGTTTGAAATGGATATAATAAAGTGAATGACGAAGGATTAACTGAAGGAGGAGGGTACTGTCGTTGGAGGTTTTGGTGTTGCAAGTGGTTTAATTTTATCTGCTTTGATTTGGATGATGAAGTTTTGGATTTCATTCCTCCTTTCATTAATTCTGGATGTATTCTATTCATTTGTTTTAAATATGCTGTATATAAAGGTTTGATATACTTTCCCGCTTCGAGTTTATGTTGAAGGATGAATTCCAAAAGTTGATCTTCATTTAAAAGTCGGGCTGAATATGGTTTAACTAATGAATCATAAATTAAAGCTTGTGCTTCATTTATGGTCTGAAGGACCTGGGCGTTTTGCACCTTTTGTTTTTGTTCCTTTGGTTTTTGCGGCTCAGGATTATATAATTTATATAATTTATATAATTCATCAATATCTTCTTCTGTTAATACTTTATTTTTGAAATCTTTCAATTGTTTAAGTTGTGATTTACTTTTTCCCTTTGAATATTCATTATTTTTAATTTTGTCTTTAATTTTAGAAATTATTTTATCATGATATTTCAAAACTTCATTTTTATAATACGAATAATAATAATCCATATCATCACCCGTTATATTTTTATTATATTTTTGGAGATATGCTTTTAAATCATAATAATCAAGAAAATTTTGATTAAGTACTAAATCATCAATTAAAATTTTTAAATCTGTGTTATCCATTTATATAAAAATAAAATAAATGTTTTAAGGGTGCCCACCTCTTTGAATCATAGTACAAAACCATTATTAACGGTTCCTTTTGTCTCTTCTGTGGCATTTTATTAAATAAATGGCATACAACATCCATTTTCACAACATACAGCCTTAGTGTGTGCTCCTGTTAATGCAGTCTTACCGATTGTTAAGCGAGTCATTGACCCGTTTTTAAGTTGTAAATTAATATTCTGACCATCAAATATTACTTTATCATTTATTATATCCAAATAATTTTTAGGTGTTAATTGTTTATTTTGTCGTAAACTAACTCCTTTCATTTTTTGTGCAATCTTTTTAAAATCACTTCCATCAATTGAACCGTTGAATGAAGTATAACACTTAGGACATAAAGCAACCATGTTATCACCTTGTTTCTCAATTGCTAAACCCAATAACTTCTTCTCATGTGCTTTTTCTTCAGCTTTATTCTTTAATTTAGGTTTAAATTTCTCATCAAAACAGAAGAAATCAAAAGGTGCGAATTTGTAAATGTTTTTATCATAAAATTTTTTATCGGTAACAATTGCTTGAAATGCTTGAGTGTTAGGAAGACTTGGATCGCCAGCGATTGCCCAATAAGATGAATCAGTATCACCTTCAATGAAATGAAAACGATTAACATCCATGCATTTATACATAAAATCATAAATGAAAACCAAATACCAGTATTTTGCGTTATCTAAAGTGAAGAATGCCTCTTGTAAACATGTATCACATCTATAAAATCTATCTTTGAGCATCACTTGATACGTATCTTCACCTATTTCTCTTATGTTTTAAACTTATTTGACATACATGCAACGCGTGCCTTCTGTGCATTCATTATTTTAGTCTTTGCGTAATTTTGTGTATTCATTGCATCGTAACCATATGATCCATTAAGTGAAATCTTGCAAAATAAACTTTTTCCTTTATTTCCTTCTAATTCAGCCTTTTGTCTTTCATTCATAAATTCGTTCGCAAATTCATTAAAACAAGTGTTTTTAGTAAATGTTAAAATTGATTGAATATCATCAATGATAAAATGAAATCTGTCTATTAGATACCAAAGATAATAAGAAGAAAATGGTTGATATTGGTTGTGTGTTGATGCTAACTGAGTTAATTTTCTCTGTTTCTGGTCAACTGGTAGATTGTTTGATTTCATGTAATTATACATAAAACTGCCAATTGTTTTTTCATCTGTGATAATATCTAAGTTTCTTATTATCGGTAAAAAGTTTATGTAATCATTAATGTATTTTTCATCAATGTGACCCTTTACTTCAGCCACGAATAAAGTATTTTTCTTCTTAATTATTCCCAGTGCTTTTGCTTTCTTTGTTGCTGTATCACAAATGATAACACCATTCAATCTTCCCGGCATATACATTTTATGGTCAGTATATTGAATGAAATCATGAGGATTAGATGAAAATGATGAAGGATATAATGAATTAAAGTCAACACCAACGAAATGAGTCATAATGTTGGAAGTGTCCTCATTTGATACAGTTTTAGTTTCTGGATTATATGAAAGTTTATTAATGTGCGTGATTCCTTTAAGATTTACTCTATGTTGAACATTTGATAAACCACCAGTAATTCCATTACGGAGGATGTGATAAGCTTCAACTGAATCTAGAGTCATTGGTAAATTATTTTTTAATGTATAATTTCTTAAATTGATTCTTAAACGTTGAACATCTTCATCTTTATTTGATTTTACGACATTGCAATAACAACACATTAACTGACAATTTTCTTTGGTATGTGGTTTTTCATTATCGATTCTATCTAATGTTGGTTTATTAGCATATGTAAACGCTTTACCACACATTTTGCATTTAGATGAAAGGATTAAATCGTGATAGTATTGATAGTCATCCATTGAAACATTGTTTTTAGTATCCCTTTCTGCTTTTTCATCTTGTTTCTTATATGAATCAATTTTATATTTCCAATACTTTTTTGTTAATTCAAAACTTGATTCTATCTCTTCCTCAGGATATATTTTCATTAGGATTAAAGTCTTTATATGCTAAAGCGTAACGAATCATTGATGCATTCGATGATAAAGAAGATTATGAAGCATGTCAATTTTATAAACAAATGTTTCTTCAATAATTTTATCAATTGGGTCAATCATAATTTCAACGTCTTTATTGCAATAATGAATAAAATATTCTAATCTATTCTCAAAATTTTTAGCATCATTGAGATATATTTGATAATCTGAATCGGATATTGTTTCTTGAGTTAATGCTGAATAAAATGAATCTTGAGTGAATGGTTCCACTTTATATAATTCATCTTCGTAATTCTCCCATGTGATGAATTGATAAGGGAAAAAGGATTTAACACGTGATTTATTGTTTCCGAAATCTTGAGTGAATTGGTCTAATGTCCCACCCGCTATATAATTTCTGATGTCAATAAATCTTAATTCATATGGACAGTTTGTTTTCTTTACAATGATTTGCTTAAATTGAGAAGAAGAACCAGCATTGATTTTATTTTCCATTTTGCAGTGTTTAAATCACGAAGAATTAAATTTAAATCAAACTTTCCCGAATTAAAACCTATGATATTCACTTTATTGAATTCCTCATCTAAAGTTCTTTAAATGCTTCCTTCTGTTTTTCATTTAATGTATGGGACAAAGTCCCCGCCGTTTGGTCCGTTTGCGGCTTCATTAATTCTTCATATTGTTCAATATTTGATTTAGCAACTAATGAACAGGTTGAAAATAAAAATTCAATCCAATCAGAATGAACGAATCACTTGATGTTAAGCAAAAATTCCTCGTAAATGTTTTATCACGGTCTACGACCTCGCCGCTTCGGTCTGAAAGACCTTCAGGACTCAAAGAGTCCGTTTGCGGCTTTATTTTGACAGTTGATGATACCATAAATGGTTTTAAGTAAGCGTTCAAAGTTGCACATTCAGAAAGTTGAAGTTCTTCTTTAGTCTCTAATGTTTCGAAGTCAAAAGTAATATAATATCTTGTTGGTTTATAATATTCCTGCAAATTGTGAGCTAATAGCCATTGATATATCTTCTGTTTCGTGATATGTGGTGCATATGGTTGTTGTGTGTTTTGCAATTGAACGTCTTGAATTAATCTTCCATTATTTTCTTTACATTTCTCACAATGTTTTAAAAATCTTCTTTGGTTTTTCCTTTCTGGGTCATCACGGATAGAATATACTTCTTCTTTGCAAAAGGGGCAAACTTTATATCCTGTGAGTGCTTCAACGTCTGTAATTCTGTGAAGTTTTCCACCACTCTGTGTTAATATATAAATATTTACTGTTTCAAATTCTGGATCTATCATTATTGATTCCACTAATGGAAAGTCTACCTTATTTATGTCTACGTCTTCTGGTTGAGGGTCACAATAATAAAATCAATATTAACGTTTAACATTCTTGCTAACCTCTCACTTTCTGATGAAATGTCAAATCCTTCATATGCATCTATGGCTTCATTTAAATAACTTCTACGAGTTTTAGGATTAACACCATCAGGAATGTTATAGAAGCGTTTAAATAACCTTCTACCTTCGGCTCTTATTTGATTATCATTCATTTTAGCTGTTCCGTTTTTGTTCATTTATGTAAGAATAAAAAATTAAAAAATAAATAAAAATAAAGTTTATTTTTTTAAAGTCCAGGGCTAAAGTCCATAAAATGAATTAAGAACACATAAATTTTTATCATCTGCGACGTGACGAATACATTTTAATTTACTCAAGAATGCGTACCCTGATACATTAAATCTAATTCCTGTCTTATTTAATTTCACAACTTTGAAAAGGAATGTATGAATAGCTATAAAATGATGAGATGATGTTTTATGGGTTGCTTCCATTTTTTCTGAAATAAATGAATAAATATAATGTTTATAAGTTTTCATATCTTTTATATTCTTAATAACGAATGGTATAGACCTTTCAACTTCGTCTTCCTTCGGTGCTGTTCTTTCATATGAAACATTATTAGTATCTTCAATAATGAAACCACAATCGCATAAAATTTTATATGTACCAATTGTTTCTTTTGATATTTTATCTAACAAATCAAAAACTTTATCAACACCTGTACATTTATTTAAATAATAATTTGTGTAAATATCATGGTCTTCTTTCTTAATCGTATTTGTTGCATATGTTACATTTTTCAGTGCTTTTTTGAATTTTTCAGAATCAAGAGGAGGTGAAAGTATATACATGGTATCTCATTCGTCAATAAATTGTAACTTATGTTTATGAATAAATTTTGTGCCTTCTTCTGAAAGTGTTTCATCTATTTCACCATCTAATAAATTTTTAGTAGATTCCAAAAAGTAATTTTTATATCTTTCTTCATGAGATTTTTGAACTTCTGATTCTGAAGCTGGGATATTCATTAAACCCTCTACTTCATTCTCATTATATTTTTCAACTTCTCTTAATTCCTTAATTTTTTCATCTATTTCATCTCTTATTTTTTCCAGTCTTTCAATTTCATCATATTCATCATCTTTAATCCGTTCTTCATAATATTCAGGGAAAACATCAGGTTCTTTAGGTTTTTCTTCTTCAGATGTGGGATATAAGAAATTTATAACATCATCTTTATTCATTTTTCCATCATAATCTAAATCATTTAATAACTCCGCGAATTTTTGACAATTTCTTAAATAATATTTATTAACTTCATAACTCGCCTCCTCTAATATATCCTTTATTTCCTCGTTTGTGAATCCCAATTTTTTAACGTCGTTAGTCTTGACACTCATTTTCATACGAATTAAAAAAATAAATTATTCAAAAAATGTAAGACATGAATTTTAATATTTTTTATTTTTTTTTTTCATTATGTTTATATCATGATTTCTAATCTTCATACTCTCTCGTACATACTAGATTTGAAGAATTCGGAACTTTTACCATAATCTCTTAAATGTTTTCTTATCCCTAACGTGTGCCAGTTATTATATGAAACTGTATAAACTTTATCTTTATCTTTACACCTTTCATCACTTCCAATATATTATATCTCAGTTTTGATTTAGCATTTTCATATTCATTAACGTTTAATAATTCACAGTCTTCCTTTTAAATAAATGTTTAAGATATTCAGATTTAATACTCTACGTTTATATCTCCTAACTTAGTTCTAAAGGTTTTTCTACAAAATTTAGGATTCCATCCTCTTTAATGTCATCAATGATTTCCATTTCATTATTTTCAATTTCTTCTTCTCGTTTATGAGGTCTTTGATTATGACTCCATTGATTCCATGAAATTAAATATTCTTTATCATTATATTTATACCTCATTAGCTTATTTTGGCTTTCATATTCATTTAATAATTCACAATCTTCATTTTTAAATTGAAGTTTAACCCATTCAGGATTTAAACAATGTTTAATTAATCGCGGAATATCTGACATCATCTATATATAGCTTCTTTTATAAAAGATAAAAAAATAAATTATTTTAAAATTAATGTTAATTTTTTAATGATTTATAAATAAATATATTTTAATGCATCGTCTATATATAGATGAAACAAAAAAAGTCACACAACCCGCACTCATATACTACTATCACAATAAAATAATGAGTTTTAATAAAACTTACCACAATACATTTTCAAATTGATTTATATTTTATAATTCTCACTCATTCGATTATTTTTGATTCACATGCTGTTCGGCATTAAAAGCAAAAATAATCACAAGCCTGAGAATTACACTTTTGCTGCATATTTAACAGGATTGAAGCCTGTTAAAAAACGCACAAAAAGTGTTAATTTAAATTAAAATATAATTGAGAACATTCACTTATTTCAAAAAAACTAGAAAATGAAAAAAGATTATTGTATATATATTATTTATTATAAGAAACAATAAAACAAACTTTATATAAATAATTAAATTATTTCAGCTTATTTGAATAGCAAGAAGGACAGTATCTTGTTTTAAGACAGCTAATGTGGAATGTATGTCCACAAGGGAAAGTTGCCGCGCTAGTTGTATTTTCTCCAAGATTTAGAGGTAAACCACAAACCTGGCATACAGAGAGGTCAGCTCTTACTCCCCAATTTCCTGCAGTCGATTTCACTGCGTTTTGGTCGAAAGAAATTTCACTTTTTTCAGCCGAAATCATTTGATCAACCCAAGGAGGAATTCCTCTGTCTTCTCGTGACAAATTATATCTTTCCGCAAGATTGCATAACTCAGTTACCTCATTAGTAATGTTCTGCTCCCACTCATTTAACTTCAAAAGTGACATCACATCAAAAGGTGTCACTTTTTCTGGATTAATATTTTTTATTTTTTCAGCGTATGGAGATTCAACTAAAATTTCTTCTGGTTCTTCCTTCTTTGCGTATGCGGAGAACACGTCTTTCTTTGCCATCATATCTATGAAAAGCGATTTCCTCTGTTCATCAACGTTGTGGAGATAAATTGGAGGAGAATTTGCCACCAAAATTGAAATGTCAAATGAAGAAATCGATGCCAACATTCGGCAGAGTTGTGATGACCCTTTGGCAGCAATCTTAGTGACAATTTGGGAATTCTCTGGTGAGGAATTGATGTTGGAAACAATGTCATCGGGATTCAAAAACTTTTCCCAATTAAAATATTCATTTGGATTTTTAATGACATAGTTTCGAACTTTTGAAACAACTTCTGGTTCAAGTGCTAATTGTTGTAACATGGACTTGAGTTTTTCTATCGTCTTTGTGTCAGGAACATCAAGTGAAGTGACCAAACCGTAAAATTCTGGATCCACGGCTTGTAAAGGTTGTGGCTGGCTTTCGAAGTCAACTTTCTGTAGATATTGTTCGAATTTCTCTGAAGGATTGACTTCCATGAGCTTTAAGAGCTTCATGTCCTTGACATTGTCATGCATTGCTAATTCTTGAGCCTTTTCGTACTGTTTTTGATCAACAAGGTATCTGTAGTACTCTTCATTGCTCTCGCATGCCTTGAACAAGGTCAATTTGTCCTTCCACATGAGTAATGCGTAGTTTTTGTAAGATGAGAAATCACAATATTCGGAATTTGGTATGATAGTGCCTTCTGGAGTACCGTTGTTTAAATTAACGATGTATGCAAGACAGTTCGGACCAACTGAAATTAAAAATGTTGAACATAATAAAAGATATGAAAGATTTGATGAAAAAGTCTCTGGAATTGTATTGTGTTCGGCAAGAACAATCTTAGCTTGCGGTTTTCCTTCTGGAGATGCTATAAGAAGTGTAGATTCGGGTTTTGAAAAGAATATCGCGTTATGTGTTGGAGAATATAAGGATCCGAAGTCGCCGGTAACTTTTTTACCACGAATGTTAACAACATTTCCTGCTTTAATGAAGCAAGGACTTGATTTAGCGCTAACAAGTATTGATTCTTCTGAGATATATTGTAATTGAACAATTGGAGAATTTACTGTGGTAATATAGTCGGCAGATTGATGTCTAACTGTCCAAACTCCACCTGTTTCATCGCCAATCAATAAAAAGGGAGTTCTTGAAATTTTCGGTGGAGGTTCTGATATCCAGTCTAATGTAGTTGGTCTTTTTCCTTTTAGATCGACTGAATAACTCACTACTGGGTTTGTAAGTGGATCTTCGATGAAATGAAGTGATGAATTTCCGCCAACCGCTAAAAATTTTCCTCCTGGTGAGAAGGAAAGTAGTTGTATAGCAGTAACTATTGAAGGGATTGAAACAACTATAGGTGATGAAGCTTCTGTCAGTGAATATAAATGAACACTGCCAGCAGATGCGCCGAAAGCAACTTTATTTGCATATAAGGCGCAGCACAAGTACTTAAAACGAGATATTTTTGATACGAACTGCTCTAATTCTGTAAGGATATAATAATCAGACATCAATATAAAAAAATTATTTTTGAGTGCAGTTCATAATTCTATGATGGATTAAAATATTCGAGATTCCAATAGAAATAGTTGAGAAATACATCAAAAAATTCAAAAAATCAAGGTTCAGCAAAAATATGAAAATATGAAAAAGCTGATTTAAGACTTAAAGTTCAGACTCTGATATCTGCTATTGCTGGAAGACTCTAGAAAGAAAAAGTTAGCAAATTAGAATATAATTGATCGAGATATTTAGAATTTAAATATACATTCATTTTTACTAGAACCACATCACCCATAGATACAGGCACATGCTTTACATGAGTGTAAATAAACGCACTTCAAAAATCAAATAAAAATTAAAAATGTTTTACAATTCTAAAACCAAATACGCATTTGTGTCCCCTGAGAGTTAACGTTTAATCATGCGAACAATGGGAGAATCTTCGTCTGATGGCAAGCTTATTCAGATCAAATTCTTCACACAAACACTGAGTGAAAAAAAAAATTTGAAATGCTTGGCGATGATTTCAATGCATTCTGGCATGTCTCAGTCAAACCAAAGTCACAAGCAAAGGTAACTATTCCTGAGCATGTTGTTGCTTCTCTAACTAATGCCTCACTTCATTTCGAAAACGATGAAATTAAAAATGGCCGTGTTGTTATCTATGCAAAAACAAATAATGGCCCCGAATTTGCATTGGTTCCATTCACAGTTGGAAAATTTGAAAGTACATCATTAGATTTAAAGCTTACTGAAGGAGATGTATTATATCTTCGAAACTCCGGCCATGTACAGGTTGATATTTGTGGCTGCATCACAGGTGGATTTTCTGTTACAGTAGAGTAGACTTATGCCAACTTTTAATATTATCTAAATTTTGGGCAAGTCTATCAAATATGTTTGATAATTAAAACCATATTTAATACTATAGAATTTAAACATTTAAACATTTTTCATTCCAATAAATATAGTAATTAGTCCATAGCAATCTCTATCTAACTGAAAACCAATAAGATAAGTTAATTACATTATGTAAAGTGTCCATAAAAATTCCAATCAACCCTGAGCGGCAATTTATTAGCAATATATTTGAAATTTTGAATTATAGAGAAATGTGCTAAATAAAACACAATAATATTCATAAATCGTTGGTCTTATGTCAATGTGTTTATTTTCATCATCTCAAGTACCTTTTTTAGATCATTTTTGCGATGAAAAACCTTCTCAATTTTTCATGAATTGAGTTTTGAAGTATTAATGAAAAATAACATAAATGGAGTAAATCAGATCCGATACTTTTCGTAATTTTCAAAGGAAAATATGACACGCGTTCTCAAATTTAAAATTTTCAAAAATCGAAGTAACAAACTCAACTCTTAATATACAGTAACAAATTATTAAACTTTTCAATTCCGAAAAACCGATATTTCAAAAAATAAATGAGCAAGCTTCAAGTAGTTGTTATGGAAGCTCGTGGAGTTCCAAAAGTTGACGTTGTTGGATGGTCAGACCCATACGTTCAAGTTAAGGTCAATGATGGCAAGGTTGTTGAAACCAAAGTTAGAAAGAATGAGAAAAACCCAGTATGGGATAAGAGATTCCAATTTAACGCTACATCTAAGGATACACTCCACTTAAGACTCATGGATAAAGACGCAATTTCCAAAGATGACCCAATCGGAGAAATAGTCATTCCTCTTGGATCATTCAAAGTAGGTGAATTCCAATGCGCATGGTTCCCAGTCAAGCTTTATCCAGATGTTAAGCCAGATAAGACACCTTGCCAAATCAGACTTTTGATTGAACTTCTTCCATAAATACACGACTTATTTTACATCGATTTATTCTTATTTTGAATTTTTTGCTAAATAAGTATAGCATTTTTTTATGATCGCAGATATTTAATACTAATTTTGTCAAAAATTCAATGAATAAGTATCTCTAATTACTTTAAAACTTCACAGAAAAAAGAACTCTATTATTTTAATACAAATATAAGTAGTATATGTTGAAGGGTTGTGTGACTTTTTTTGTAAACGTAAGAATTCATACAATATTGAACGATTTTGTATCATTTTTTTTAACATATGAAGTAAAAAATGTATGATTCTTACGGTTTTTATTCTTACGTTTTTGAATAAATCAAGATTTAAAAAATTGACTTCTTACGTAAAATTAAAACTAAGTTAAATTTATTTTTTTATTTTTTTTAATTCGTAAGAAAATGAGTGGATCAAGATTCGTAACCGTCAATCAATTAATGGATGTTCTTTCACCAATTCTTGAAAATATTAAACAAGTAGATGTTTATTTCGATGATTATGTAGAAAGTTTATATTATAAAGGTAAGTTTAATATTAAACCTATTGCTTTTGCATTTGATAATAAATTAATTGAAAATGCAAAAATTTGGGAATTAATTCCGAATATTGAATTTATAACAAATATTAATGATAAATGGTTTAAACGAATTCCAACCACAAAAGTTCTTTGTAAATTAATGATCAAAACTGAGGAAAAAGAATTTAACGAGTTTAAATATCATCCAAATAAAGTTTCAGAACTAGAAAATGAAAAACTTCAGAAAAAATTAAACGATAGACTTTCAAATGATCGTATTGAAAAAATAAATAAACTAGCAGAAGTTGCATTTAATAATGAAATATTTGATGAATATAACCTTGAACTCAGTGATGGGCTTTAAGGACCCGGGCTCAACGAGTCATGATTTATGAAATCAATAATTTGATTTATTCGCTCTTCAATAATTTCTATTCTTTTTGTTAAATCATCTATTTTCATTAATGAGGTGATTCTTGATTGAGGAATAGATTTCAAACTAACCACTCCTTTTATTTTTGAAATTTTGAATCCATCAACTTTAAACATTTTATTCAATTTACACGTTGTCAATTCTTCAAATAATTTTTTATTAGCATAATAGTCATTAAATTCTTCAACAGATGAAAAATTTTGTTTCAGTAATTGGTTTAACAACGTTTTTTTTGTTGAACATTTTCACTTTCATTTATTTCTTCCTCCTGTTTATTTATTTTTAAAATTGGTTTCATTTATCATTAAATAAAAATTAGAATATAAGTGATGAAATAAATTTTTTAATTAATATTAAATCAGAAATGGCGGCAGGATTCTTTAAAAAATTATGGGATGGAATTAAGAAAGCTGCGGGTTGGGTTCATAAAAATATTATTAAACCCGTTGCAAACTTTTTGGCACCAGTAGCGAAAACGGCAGGAACTATCATAGGTGGAGTATTAGGTACTAAAGCAGGTAATCCAGCGATGGGAGCACAAGCAGGTAACGCAATTGGTGGAATTGCTGAAGGAATACTTAATAAAATAGGAGGTAAATAGTGGAAAATAAATAAATATTATTTTTATCTTAGTATCGGTTGAAGTCTTTGATAAACTTTTTCTCCTTTATTTAATATTTCTCTTATTGGGGCGGCTTTTGGTGTTATTGATTCAGCAACGTCACTAATTGCTTCTTTATTCTTAAATATCCAATTTGCTCCTTTCTTCATTGTTTCCCAAACTTTATGCGCTCCTCTTTTTACTTTATCCCACAGTTTCTTAAATATACCTGCAGCCATAGTTGATTATTTCATTAAAATTAAAAATTCATTTTCATCTTTTAATTTTGATTTTTTATTTAATAATAAATGACGACTAACTATTTGGTGCCAAACACTAAACCGATTAATGGAAATGTATTTCATTCATTCGAAAAGATAAATGAAATATTCTCGAAGAATGATGGTAGAAGATATTATAGAGAACTTGAAAGTTCATGCTATGACTCTGATACTCCATATTTTGATGATAAACAAACACATTTAAGAATTACAAATCCAGCTCATGATGTGAACCAATTAGGTGACACATATATTAAACGCAAAGTTAAAGCAACTCTAGTTTCAAATAAAGCTTTCACATGCGATACCGCTTTTAAATGTATGCGTTTATTCGTTGGTTACAAATCATCAAATCAAAGCTTTAAACAATTAGAAGTAGAAACCGAAAGAGGTGATGCCGGTTATCTTCAGATGGATTGCGCCCGTGAATCTTTCACATTTGCAACATATAAACCAAAATCAGAAAGGAAAGTTAAAAAGTTTGTTCATTCGTTATATAATAATGTTCAAAAATATGATAACTCAGTATGTGGTAAATATATTGACCCTTCAGAAGTTTTCAAGAAAGCAAATGAAGAAGTTGATGTCACTTTTGATATGATTATTCCGGTAAATGATTTGTTAGCATTTCAGGCGTTCGATGATTATCCTAAATCATTTGGTGAAATCATTCTTAAATATTATGTTTTCAGGGATACTTTAGTATTTTGTCAGGTTGACCCGTTAAGAGTTGCTGATTTACAAAATTACGTTTATGAAAAGATAACTGATGAAAATTATGAAAAGATTATGAATCATGTTTATAAATATGATCGCAAATTCCAACAAATCGGACTTCCTGTCAAATTAATTACAAGCTTAGCCGCTACATCTGCTGACGCAACAGTTGATGACGTTATTATTTCATGCACAAAGATGGAAGTTTTAGAGGATAAATGCATTACACCAGGATACGGTTTAATTGAAGAATCAGTTAAAGCAATACCACGTTTATTCAGTAAGGAAGATCCATTCATGATTCCAGCTCAACATATTGACGTTCGTTCACTAAATGGAGGTTGCATCACTCCTGAAGGTATTAGCTCAGATTTCTCATACGCTCTTCATAATGTTACAGATGTTGTGTTAACATTTCCGAAGAATGCAATGCAAAGAACGGTTTTAGAAAATCCAATGCTTCGAGGTCTTCAGGTCACTATAGATTCCAGAAACTTCCCCGATCAAGCGATGACCACAGTGGGTGACATATTCTTTACACGTATGCTTCAAGCTTCTGATTTAGATGGAGTGAATGAATGCACAGAAGAATACGAGGACTCATTAACTAGACCACTGAATGATGATAATGGCACGCCATTAGCTAGAACATGGAAAGACCAAACTTCATTCTTATGCACTATTCCAGTTCAACGTGATGGAGCGGGTATATTCTTTGATGGATTAGAAACTTTCAACTCACAAGTTACAGTACAAGTGAAAGCTTATCCAATCATTCAGGGTGAAAATGACACTTACTGTTCAAAGGTGACAAATCCTCCTCAGGTTTGGTTTACTAGGACTACGTATTGGACATGGACACCGGATGAAGGTTTGAAATATCATCCAACAGGTACACCACCACAGTATAGAAGTTCATATGATGAAATATTGATGAATAGAAATGTTTAAAATTATAAATTTATTTTTGATTAAATGGATTTCAATTCTGAAGAATTAACAGATGTATATAATACCTACATAGATGATATGATTAATGAAGTATTGAGTGATAATAGAAATGCTCTATCTAAGGAAAAATTAATGAAAATTCCATATTCTGAATGTTACTTAAATTCAATCACTGCAGCAATTGGTAAACAAAATAAAGGTAAAACATTAACGATATTAAAACAAATTATCATTATTGCTAACACTTCCCCCATTCACATGTGTTAATTTATATCAACCGTTCAGGTTCACCTTCAGATGATACATTTGAATCTTTAAAGCATTTAATCAAAATTCCAATTATTTATTTATCACAAGAAGAAGCAGAAGATTATTTAAAAAACTTTTTAATGTATAAAGAATTATATAATACAATCAAGAAGCAAGGATTAGAGGATAAAATTATTGATAAACAACGGGATGAATTATTTGAAACACTTTCTATTTCAAATTTTGATAGAGAATTTTTGCATTCACTAATTTTTCTAGATGATGCGTGAAATCAAAACTAATAACAAATGAGAAATCATATTTTAATCATTATTAACTCAATGTCGACACATTCAGTGTTCATTCTTCATGGCTGTTCAATACTTCAAAGCATTAAGCACAAACATTAAATCAAACCTGTCACCCTTTTCATTTTCAGTGGGTTTAGTCGTCAACAGTTGAACGTTATGCTTTATCAAGTGAATTTACCAATGAGCATTAATGAACTTTACACACAATATCACAATTAGGTGAACATGGAAAAATAATAGTTGATTTAAATAAAGGTGTTAAATTTGATTAACTTTTTATAATTAATTTTTATTTTTTATTTATAATTAAACATGACAGAAATAGCAAATCTTCTACAGGTTCCATTAAAACAAGGGACAAACAAAAAGGGTGCATATAATAGAACTATGAAAGTTCCAGACGGAATGAAAGAATTAGTCCACATTGTTGCGGTCTTCAAAAGATGTTAAACAAATGAGAAACGTTTTAACATTACCAGAAGCTCAAGCATATGCCAAACGTCATGGACCAAATTGGGAAGCACATGAAGCAGACATTACGGGTCCAAATGGAAAACCTGATGGTATAAATGAAGTTTTCGTTACTGATGGTCAAGGTAATATTAAAGTCATAAATGGTATAAATTAAAATGACTGATTATCCTAAACGTAAAGCATATAATGAACGTTATCCTATGCAATTTGATGAAAATGGAAAAGCTGTTAAACAATACATTGGAGAAGGTGAAAATGGTCCAATTAATTCATACCGTTATAATCCATATTCTTATTTCAATGAAGAATTAAATGCTATTGAAGAGGGACCGGATGGATTACCACGATATGTTAATCAGTTTGATGGTCAATATGCAAATTTGAGACCTGAAATTCCAGCTAAGAAATTCTTTAAAGTTGCTTTATTCGATCCAGTGTTCAATGAACAGAAAGAAGCAAT